TTGGATTTTCACGTAATCGTTTAAACAGTTAAATAAATAAATAATCAAACACACTCCAACCCCCACACCGCCCAACGGCTAACCACACAAACACAAACAAACAAAGCTATTCTCCATGAAAATCATTGTGATTGCATTTTTTGCTGCCACTACATACTAAGCACAACAACAACACCAACACTAATAAAATTCAGTAAGCAAACAGATTTGGCGAACTCCATTTAAATGCGTCTATTAACCGCAGCAGCAGCAGCAGCGTTAGTCACACACAACTGAAGCGAGCGCAGCGTAACGGTACCTTATGCTAAAAGGCTTTCGAAGGAATTGTGTTGCACGTGCCACGCGCGCACACAGCCTTCAGGCTCAGAAGTTCTGTTTGCATGCTTCCGGTCATTGAGTTTCTTTCCGCATTTGGCCGCAGCAAAGAAGCAAGAACCGCAAGTCACACGCATACCAACACCAACAAGCGCAAACACACACCAATGAAAGCACAATTTCTCTGACACCCTCGCACGCACAAGCACACACACTTACACCCACACGCATGATGTGACCTGTGGCGGCAGGCGGCCGAATGCTTAGCAAATTGAAATAATAAGCCAAGGCGGCGATAAGATTAATGATTATGGGCTTGCTCGCTTGGATGCTGCCCCAGCACCCACTGCCGCCACGTTGAGTCACCCGCTGCGCGCTACTTTGCCGGCTCACTGCTCGCTCTGTCCACAACTTTGATGCTGTGAAAGTCTGTTTTTGATGGGAATTAATTATAAGGCATACAATTTAAGAGCCCAGCAAGTATTCAATGTATGCTTTATTGTTTATGTGCATATACATACAAACTTATATATTTATTATATAAACTTATATATCATATATAGTAATGGTATTTTGTTGCTGTGGCCAGTTTGGTGCTGCTTATCCTTGGCAACTTTTCATGAATTGTTATTTTGTTATATTTTCTTTTTAGTAAAAACACACATACAAATACACCTACATCTATAGGTATGTATGAACATATAGCCTCCAGCGGAAACATGATTTTAATTTTTTAATGAGTTTTGGTATTTTTAGACTTCATTATAGGAATACTTGACATTTAATTATTTTTATTACAAGCAGGTATTGAAACGGAAAATTTTGCTTTAAAATGATTTAGAAAAAAAAAAAAGCTTGCAGCTTTGAGGTAGTAACAATAGAAAGTTGGAGACTAATTTAATCTGCCAGTTTGGTGGACAGGTTTAGAGGCTCGCTGCGCTGTGCATAACAGTAGCTTTAAGGGCCACTCCAACAGCAGCTCTTGAACAGATACTAAACTTGCCACCTATAGACCTCTTCGTGAAAACTGCGTAGCAAAATCGGCGGGACGACTACTGGCTGCAGGTGAATTTACATATAGAACTTGGGGCATAGCTCGATGGGTAATGGTGGTTTAGAAAACACCGATTGACTGTCCAGAGTTAGGCATAAGGCAGCCTTTTAAGTTGCCGGACACCTGTAGCCAAGTATCAATCAAGGCAGTAACCTGGTATCGCATATTGCCAAGAAGTGTCACTTCTGCTGGGTGCCAGGTCACAAAGGCATCCAAGGCAATGAACAATGTAGCATCCCTTGAGCACTTGTCTCGCAATGGCAAGACTACGCTGTAAGCATCTGGGGTTGCCACGATATGATATACTGGAGGAAATATCGATAGTGAAGCCAAGAGTATATTAAAATTCGGGACGAGCGCTGGCATTCTAAACAATGACTCCTCCTCATGGACCTAGTAACTGAACTCCAACTGGTATTGCAAAGGACCTGAACTGGTATATGTGTGTCTCATTGGCCTACCAAATTAACCTAACCTAATGTAATCAGCCTTTAAATTATTTACTTTAGAAAGCGGATAAAGTTCATTTAAATAATTATATATAAATTACAATATTATATATATATTGTTGATTTAATACACAAATAAAGCTAGTGAAATTTATTAAAATCTTACATTTAATAAAGAGCTAAGTTCAAGCTATCTTATTAAGGATCTGTTTTGCAAATCCCACTCGACGTCGTTTTTGCAAAGGATTCAAGTATCTACGCAAAACATTAACCAAAATGTGTTGAGTCAATGCATAAAATACATTGGGATTCTGATACCAGCGAGACGATTTTTATGGAATGTTTCTGTTGTTTTTCGATGTTACCATCCTTAACAAAGCAAGTTGATAGACTCGCATAAAGCAAAATTTTCTATGTATGACAGTGACTGAATGCTTTGTGCCACTCAAATAATTTGCATTCGTGATAAAATAGACTACTCAAAACAATTTTATCATAATTTCCACTATTCAGTAGCCGTGATTCCATTGGAAACAAAAAATTTTAAACAAACTCCTTGTTCATTTTTTTTCCGCTATGTAGCAGAAGAATACCATTGTAATGGGTATACACCAAATTTGCTTGAAATTAGTTGAGTAGTTTCTAAGATATATTTTTTCAGCTAAAGATGTGCGCTGTAAAACCTATTATCAAAGCTTTATTCAAATTGTTATGAAACCTTTTACCACCATTTTAGCTACGAGATTTAATGCTTCTGACCTACTTATATAGCTGGTTTATGAAGATTGAGTGTGGTTATCATCTAGTTTCCAGAGAAATTTCACTAAATAATTTTAAAGGCATCTTAATATCGCTTAATTTTACTGTCAAGTGCAACGAATTCTTCCGAGGCCGCTTAAATGTAAAGAATGCCGAGTAAACTAAATAAACCTACATATATAAAAAGGTCCAGCACTTTAGACTTTTCCGCTATACGCTAAATTTCGTGTCGTCACTCAATCTTCCTAAAATTTCAACACACAGACATACTAACACACAAGTATGCGAGTAGTACGAGCGCCGGCTGGGGCTGTTTACGGTTAGTAATAATTCAAAAACAGTTCTCTGGCAGCACGGTCACCGCCTTTTCTCTCGTCGCTTGTCATATGCAGACGATTAAGATTGTACACTAAGTACTGCAATGGAACAACAAGAGCAGAAGTAAATAGCAGCAACAACACTGGATTAGACACAACAACACATGGCACTCGAAACTCATGCATTAAGTACACAATTTAACGCCCTCCAAAGGCAGGGAGGGCTGCAACACTTCGGCCGAAGCAAGTTTGCCGAAAAAGTTTCGCCGGGCGGCTGCTGACGCCGCGTGCAACACTTAAACCAGCAGCCAGGCTAACACCAACCACCCGCCGCTGCTTGTTCTAAATATGCATTCAATTACTGTTTTAAACTTATATTGCTGTTGCTATTGTTGTTGTTGTTTTTGTGCTATTGTTGCGGCAACTCTAACCCGTGATGTAGCTTAATGTCTCTATAAATTCTTGTTGGCTGGAAATAAAATTTCCTCTATTTACATTTTTTATACGAATTTTATTTATGTCTGCGTGTGGCAGGCGGCCATTGAATCTCGGCCCAATAAGTGAGGAGCTGTTGCAGAGCCAATGTTAACGGAAAACTTTCGCAGCACTTTGCTGCTGGCTCTTGTGTCATATTACAAGTAAACCAGATCGTTCGCTCATGTCGAAACTTAACTTCAGCCTAACTCTTTGCTGACCAGGCCGAATGGATAAACGCTGATGTGTCCGGCGGCAATGAAAAGTTTACAAATTTGATGGCTACTCAAAAACTTGAACATGAGGCTGTGGATGGATGCTGCACTGAAAACAAATGTGGATGAAAGTAATGGATTAGTAATTTTAGAATACTATTTTGAAGTCTTTTGGATTTCAAATTATATAAGGTTAAGACTGTGCAAGAAAAACGGCCTTCCTCTGCATCCACCGGCGGGTACTGAATCAAATACTTTCACACTTTTCATCCATTCGGACGACACATAGTCATGCCAATCCCGTCATATATCTCATGTAGCTCATCATTTCATCGAGTGCGATGTTCGCAGAACCTTTCTCTAAGATAGGTATATCGTCGACTTAACAGATGTTGTCATATAATATAGCCAAACAGGAATATTGAGTTCGATTTTCGTTCATCTAGAGAGGACTTTACATCTCAATTACCTAGTCTGTCCGAAGTAGCACCTGTTGGCAAGAGATATTCTGCTTTGTATTTCGAGGCTGACATTGTTGTTTCTGTTAATACAGGTTCCAAGATAGACGAAATTATCTACTACTTCGAAGTTATTACTACGAGTGCGACGACTATTTCTTTGATGACACCAGATATTTCGTGTTGAACTCGTTCACCACCAGATCAATTTGCTTTTCCGTAAGCCAACAGCTGTACACTCTTATAGAAAATGGTACCTTCTCTATTAAGCCTTACAGCTCGAATTATTTCCTTCAACAGTAGATTAAAGAAGTGGAACGAAAGGGAATCGTCTTGTCTGAAAACTTTTTTGGCTCTGACGTTGAGCTTTATCTTTCACACAACACGTTCGAGAGAGCCTTATAGGCGACGTTGAGAAGGCCTATCCCACAGTAGTTGGCACAGATTGAGTGATCCTTCTTTTCGTGGTTTGGGGAGAGCACACTTAAATTCTAATGGCATGCTTTCGTCTGACCAAGCTCCTTTTTCGCCGCCGACAATGTTTGATGACCCCTTAAATTAAATCTGAATAATTTTATTTAAACCAAAGTTCACTTCGCAGCACTATTGTTTATACATTTACCTCTTTCAAATCCCAATAATCGAACTAATTTGAAAATCAGTAAAATTTCTGAAAATAACTAAAAAAAATTTTGCAGTGTAAGTTCTTTTGAAATGTACATTGTATCAATGCATAAAATCTCCAACCAACACGTTCTGAAATGGTTTGATTTTGTCAGAGTTTCAGCCTGTTTTAGACAGTTTGAGTTTCTTTTTGAGCCAATGTGATATACTATACATATTCATTATTTCACGTCACTTATTAACTTTCCCTCTGAAATACTTATCCTTTTCGTACCCACGTTTTACCAATCAATCAAACTTATCTAATCCGAAAATGTACTTTAATCTTTTTCTAGGTAAAAATTTGGTTTCAAAATCGCCGCATGAAATGGCGCAACTCCAAGGAGCGCGAGCTGCTCGCAAGCGGCGGTTCACGTGATCAGACATTGCCCAACAAAAACAACCCCAATCCCGATTTGTCCGATGCCAAATGTGATCGTCCCATCTCACCGCTATCACCGACGCCTCCATCGCCGCCCGCCAACAGCCTCTCACCACAGCCGAAGGAAGAGCGCGCCAATGCTGACACACCAACACACAACGGTGCAACCACACCCAAGTCCATGCAATCGCCGACCGGCACGCCCACCGCTAGTGCTGCTGCATTGCATTCGCCACCGCTGATGCATCATATACCCAACAGCGTAGCTGTGGCCGCCGCTGCTGCCGCGGTCGCCTTCAGTTCGGCGCCGAGTATGCAAATAAGTTCGCCGCCACCCTTGCTGACCGTTGCCGCCAAACTCAATGCCAATCTGAATGATCAATCATCGAACGCATCCTCATCGGCCGCTTCCTCACCACCACATACCAGTGCTGGCATGGTGCTTGGTGTTTGCGGTAACGGTGGTAGTGGTGTTGGTGGCAGTGTGGGCATGCAACCGTTGTCGAGCGCCGAGTTTCAGGCGAAAATTAATGCGGAAATGCAAAAACATTTGGCCGCCGCAGATCTTAAATTCAAATTGGAATCGACCATCAACGAAGCAAAGCAACGGCGCATCAACATGCTGAATCTGGCAGGCGCTGTGGCTGTCGCTGGCGGCAATGAGCAACATGCTTTGCAACTGCACTCGGCCGCACATACCGGTGGCCTTTTCATGAGTGAGGCTTTGAGTCCACATATGCAGTCGTCGCACAACCACCACCAGCACACGAGCACCAGCAATGGTGTGCACTTATCGGGTTCGCCTATAACGACTTCGACGCATTCCCACATCAACGCGCACACGATGCCGCAGTTCCAAAATCCGGAATTCATGAAGATGTACTACGACGACTACGATGACTCTAATTCGGACAGCGACGAAGAGATCAGTGTAACGTGACCGCATTAAATGGCGAACATGGTGATAAATATACATAATTATTTACAAATATATTTGCGTGTAAATATTCAAATAATTTATATTAAAAACTCGATTCTCGAAACATGTAAAATATTGTATGTGTAATAATATGGGACTTATTTAAAAAATGCAACTATTTTAAAAATAAAAAATATGTTAATTTGTATTATCCAGTGTGAGTTAAGAAATCTCTAAAAAACTGTAAATAACTTATAAATACTTTCGAATTTAAATTGCAAATAAACGTAAATAAAAATAAAAATCAAAATAAAAGTATAAATGTAAATCATGGAAGAAAAAGTTCAAATACTTTGAAGAGAAGGCGTTTCCCGTTGAAAAGCAGGAAGACACAATTTAACATATTTAAACCATGCTAAGCATTCCTTCAAACTTATCAGCTGATAACTTGTAGGTATCCTTAAGTCACACTCTACATGCGAGATAGACTTAGAAGATATATATGACTCGATATATATATGTAACTCTCTCTCAAGCAACTATCGAAGTTTTGACGAAAGATTATTTATTATATTATATGTTATTATGATAACATAATAATCTCCAATTAGTAATTAGCGCTACTGTCTCAAATAGAAATGGTCCATCTAATTTTGTGCCTAAAAGTATGCCGTGTAAATGTAAAGTAGAGTTAAGTTTGGAATAACCCAGTAATGCAATGTCAAAGTACACAATTTATTCTACAACGCAAAATCTAGTTTGTGGTTCTCGTTATTGCCACTCAGATATGTAGTTTAAAATTAGCTTTGAAATTAGAATTGCCATAGACTATATCTGAAGAGATCTTAACTTACTAAGAGTCCGACTTTCGGGGAAGTATACATTCCCAAGATTCTTCATGTGAGAAACTTTCTGTAGAAAGCAGAATTAACACCGAGGTCATTGAGGCCGCATCTTTTCGTAGAATTTTCGAGCATTGGCACCTATCGACTAGCTTCTTCAACTGTCGATATCTACCCTACCCCGCTCGTGTTGTGGTTAATCGCAACATTTCGAAGGAGACTATCGGTTTTCCCCCCAACACCACGGTCCCCGTCGTACCAACTGTTCTTCCGACCTTTACGAAAACCAATGGTTTCGCTTGTAGCTGTACGTGTATTGGAATTCCGTACCACAGTTAAGCGCTTTTATTATATGTGATCTGGTCTACGGAAAGGGGGAGGGGGCTTAGGTGTCAAACAATCATTTTTCACTTTTTAGTTGATTCGGATGGAAGATGAGAAAAACTAGTTTTCGCACGATACCTCCCTTTTCGTAGACCAGGTCACATGTCAAAGAGCACGAGCGCAAGTCGAGTAAAAACCGTTTCGCTGTCGGCTGTGGTAGTAGCTTCTCGACGTCATATCTTCCCTATGCGTATCTTCGCTACAACAAGATTCCATTTGATGTTCGGTACCATGGTTTGCAGTCCGAAGTTGCGGTCGGGCATTCCCCCGAGGAGATAAACAATTTTGAGGTTGGTAAACATGCTTACCGAATCTGGAAGTATCGCATGAAGAATGTACCATCGAAATCCGTATGTTTATGTTCATGAAACCATCGCGGCTGTTGCATCATCTATTCAGGCAAATCCAAGAATTTCGACTCGTAACTTATCGGCGTAACTTGAAGTTAGCAAACGGTCATTACAACAGATCATTAATGATGACTTAAACCTGTTTCCGTACAATAACCAAGTTAAACCCTCTAGATTTGCCTATTTGCATGAAATTTTGCCAAAAAATTATTGAAATTGGGGAAGAAGATAGGAACTTGATAAATTACCCGTTTATATCAGAATCTGACTGACTTGAAGCAGTCCCTCGAGGGGGACATATATACCGGTCATTTACGATAAATTTATCAACTAGTTTGTTGTCAGAATCAGCACCTGAATAGTGCATTGCGATTTTTACAATGGATAAAAATATCGAACAAATAATTTGTCTAAAATTTTGTATTTCTAAACAAATTTCCTGTGCGGAATCATTGTGAATGCTGGAAAAGGCTTACGGTGATTCAGTTTTATCAAAAGCAGAAGCTTACGAGTAATACAAAGCCTTCAAAGACGAGAGATCGTTGAAGACATACCTTGTTCTGGACGACCTTCGACCCCTTCAACTAATGAAAATCGTCATGCAAGTATTTGAGAGATGGCAAGGGAGCTCGATATGAACCTTAATGAACCAAATAGGTACCATTTTAGTCGACCATTTTTTGTTATTCTTCTCAGTCAAGCTCTCCAAACTGTTGCCGAATCATCAAAGATAGGTGTGGTCTAGCGTTGTTCTGATTGAAGACGAAGCCTTTTCTGCATCGGTTGTTGACAGTAAAATGTAGAATCAAGGTCACAGTACATGATTCCTTTCCAATCCCACCAAACACTTAGCGTAACCTTTCGAGTTGCCAATCCTGGCTTTGCCACGCTTGGACCATTATCTTTTTCGCACATTTTTGTCGCATTTGATCCACTTTCTCCTGTTGCCATTCACTTTAGAAATGGTTCGATTTCATTTCCTTAGCGATGTCATGGCCGCTTATGTGACGGTCCTGGTCAATCCTTTCCATAATTTCATCGACTTTTCCAACGACAGGCTGACCAGAGCGAGGTGCATCTTCAACATCGAAATTTCCAGAACGGAAGCGAGCGAACCATTATTGGTTCGAAATGATACATCATTTTCTCCGTAAACTTCACAAATTTCATCGATGGTTTCTTCCACTTTTTTTACAAAAATTTCTAAAATAGCGAATTTCTTCATTATTTCACTCATTTTTGAACAGCTGTAACTTTTTTCCAACTTCCCCGAATTTAATTTCTCTTTGGTTAAATGAAGCTTTAAATCTCACCTTTCCAACACTACATGGTATGACGCAATGTGATTGGTAGCACCGGTGATATACAACTGCAACGACATCTATTGAAATACGAAAAGACTTTTTCGTCTACCCAATACTTTCGAAAACAAAGTTTACAAGCTCGATGCGGTTTGTCATTATCGTACTCGTTGGTCATTCTTACTTGTTTTCAATTTAAACATACTTAAATTAAAGAATCACGCACGAAGCCTAACTACAAATACTACTCGCATGTGCCACAACAAAAGCTCAATGAATGAGTGTGACATAAGCAAATGTTTTCTATATTATATAATAATTTATTAATTTTTTCTTTACAACTATTATTTTGTACATTTTTACATTTGTGTGTCGGTATATATTTATATGAATATACAGCTTTAATAAAAAAAAAAACAATTCGCACATCGCATTTCTTATCAGAGATTGCAATTAATGTCATTTCAAGTAATTGTAGATATTTGAGCAAAGCGTAAACAAATAGTTAACAGGATCAATGATGGCGCCACGCACGGTTGCATTCATATTTACAGTTATTTACAGTTATTTGCGAAATAACATTAGTTTTTTCATTGTTTGTTTGTGACTATAAATAGAAAACAAATACAATATAGCATACATATGTATATTGAAATCTATTTGCAAGAATACTATAAAAATTAATAATTACTTTGTACTTCAACCAATTCTTTGTTTTGTGCAACTTTCAATTACATTTATCACTTTTTTCTTAATTCGTTTTGTTTTTGGACTCACACTAATTTCTAAATACTACTTCTCTACGTACTTATATATATATATATATATATAAATATGGATATACTTCCATTATACTAAATTAATGACTGGTTGTATTATATTTAACTGTTACATTTTGCATTGTAATCATTTAAAAACTGAAGAATACATAGATTATTATTAATTAATAACAAGTACTTAGTTGCAATGTGGTAAGTCTGTTCAGAATAATTTGTACATAATGCAACGTTGTTGTAACGTACGGTGCACAAATCTTTTGTCAAATTGTAAGGTTGCCAAGTAACATAAGCCTCTAGGTCGTAGTTCCCGAAAAACCGGGTTTTTTGTTTACTTCGCTCATTCGTCGTCCAAACGTATGGCCAAATTTACATGTCCCAGCTTCTCGATGGCTGTTGGCTCCGACTTGGCGATCACTTTGATCTCCGTGCTGAATTGTGGTGGGTTCTCTGGTTTACTGCAAACTGGCTCCTCACGCGTAGAGCTTATCTTCAACACATTATGCCGTTGCACAGCAGCAACAATAAGCGAGATGAGCAAACCCAGAAATATTGTGAGCAAAGTCCCTATCATCGAGTACCACATGTAGCTCAGCTTAAAGATAGGCCAAGAGCTAAGGGTTTGGAAAAAAAAAATATTACGTAAAATAAAAATAATGCATCGCATTACAAAATTAATTACCTAAATCCGGTTAGTGGCACCGCCTCCACAGTTGTCGGCAAGACCACAGACGTGGCATTCACTTGGCAGTCGCAATGCGCGACCGATAAGGGTAGTTCTATCGGATCCACGTTGACAATTTGCGCCATCACACCAATGAAAATGACGATGGCCAACGAGAGCAAGCCACCATAGAAAGCACCCCGTGTGTTGGCGCGCTTAAAAGCAATGCCGAGAACAAAGAGACCCAAAGTGACGCCACCGATAAGGCCGTTCAAAGTTAGCGTCGCCTGCAGCACACCACCCAACTTCTCTACGATGAAAACCAAACCGAAGGAAACTATGCCATAACCCAGGGACATCCATTTGGCGTAGAGTGCACCCTTGTCCGGTGTGATTTTGATATTCATGCCATTTACGAGGAGATCTTCGCACGTCACGGCAGAGAGCGAATTCAATGCGGACGCCACGGTACCCAAGCTGGCGGCAAAGATGCCCGCCACAAAAATTCCAGCAATCGTGTAGATATGTTCGTAGGTGCTAATGATATAGTAGGGCAATAGTTGATCGGAAGCGGTGATACGGCCAGCGTTTAGTGGATCACAATCAGCGTAATGGTTGAAGATCATCAGACCGGTGTAGAAGTTCATTAGAAAAACAATAACGAGTCCAAGTATAGCAAAACCCAATGCCACTTTCGCTAACTTTAGCGATTTCAACGACATACACTTTTGCACCGAAGCCTGATTGGTGCAGAATAAGGATGTCCAATAGAAGAAACCACCGATAACCACGGACCAAACCGTATGACGCGTCGTCGGATCGAAATCAAAGCTGTAAGCATGTAATAAAACAGTTAACTTCTATACTTGTAATTGGTTGATCGCGTGCCGCTTACTTGAAGAACTCCAGGCGATGACGATCGGCTGCCGTGTTGAAGATCTCAATAGCATTACCGCTATAATAACTACCTAAAGCAATGACTAGCACCAAGGAAACAGCCAAAACAGCAGCCTACAATTTTATTCATAAAATATTTAATTTTAATAACTATATATTAAGAGAACATGTGCTGAGCTTATACCTGAAAAGTATCGGCAATTACTACCGCCTTCATGCCGCCCTGAGAGGAGTAGAACACACAGACTAAATAAATGAGAATCACAGCAACTTTTGTGTTTAAGCCGGTGGCTTTAGAGAGTGCGATCGCTGGTGCCAGCACTGCTACGGCGGTGTAGAAACACATCTGTGGAGTAAGCAAAAAAATTTTAAATATAGAGCAAAACTGAAAACCATTACAGAAGATACGAAACTATGGCTTTTCTTTCCAAAACTAATATTCCAGTGAAGTTACCAAGTTAATGGGGTTAAAAAGAGGTCTTATAGGTCAGTAAAACTTCTGGGTTCAGTTTGATAGTTTCTGAGAATTTATACAAAGATTCCTGTTAGCACTACGGCGGGTATTGATATCCCCGATATAATAATACATACATATATAATAAAGCCTTATAGATAGAAATGTTTCGATGTATTGAAAACATTTTTTTGTCAACTCCATAATCTTAAATAGGCTCCAGATTATTTCTTTATGTTTATACGGATAATAGTAACTTAAGAACTAAACCCTTTTGAGGTTACTTCTAAGCCCAACACCCATTTTTTTAAGTGTGTGTTCCTGTCTCCTGGACCCTTACCTGTATGACATACAAAACGGCTCCCAAAATACGTATCTCCTTTCCAAAACGTATGCCAAGATATTCATAACAGCTCGTCAGTTCCATTTTGAAATATATGGGATAGAATATCTTAACAGCAACCGGTATGACCATAATCATTGGAATAACTAAGGATAAGAGTAAACAAAATTTTATAGTTAATTTTAGTTCTTTGAGATAGTCTCCATCAGCACTCACCAATCAACACAAATTGCGTGCCCTGTAGGTACATCTCCGATGGGTTGCCCAACAATTCGATGGCCGTGATAAAACTTGTAGTCAAACTTAGGGTAACCGGAAAGATAGACATACCGGAGCCGAGTAAAAAGTCCTCTGAAGAGCTTCCCGACTTGTGGAAAAAGCCGTAAAAAACGCCAATACCCAATGATATAATCAACATAGAGAGCAGTATTGTGTAATCGTAACCGGAGAAAGCCGCTTTATGTGAGGGATCGTTGCATTGCTCCATTCCGTCAACGCTCTCGGTCCCACTTATTTGCTCCTTGTACATTGCTAACAACATTTGCGCGGCCGCATCGAAGTTGTGCCTTTCCGCCGAGGCTATTGCATCCAAAGCGGAGAGCGCGTCGTCTGACGGCGCAAATGTGGAATCGCCACGCACCAGTAAATATGGTGGAGATGGTTTTACTACTTTCTCAGCGACGGTGGAACTGATCGCAGGTGCTTGTTGATACCTTTGAGCATTATTATCTGGCACTGCCAACGAGTTGCTGCTGTGCGCTAAAGCGCAAAGGAACAAGAGTTTCAGCAAAGTGGCCATTAGTGGAGACATTTTGAAATTTTTTTGGATTTTTGCTTTTTTTTAATATCAGGAACTTGTTCGTGCGTAGTGTGAATATAGTTTTATAACACTTGTGGTGTATGTATGTTCGTATGATAGTGCGTATTTCGCTTTTTTTCGGGAAACTATTCGCTTTCAATTAATTTTTTTTATTGGCGGGGGCGAGTTATTTACATCTCCGTTGTAAATTTATGATGAGTTTACAATTAGTTAACAATCTGCAATTAAAAAATTTTGTATAGAATCAATAAAATATCATTGAATTGCTGGAAGTGTGGGTCTTCGTAAATAAGTAATAATTTATCAGTGACACAATTGTGTAGTAATGTTGACACTATGCCATTTATGTATTTATTAAAACACATATGTCTGTGACAAGACGGAAATTTATGCTTTGAAACTACGCTTTATCATTACTTAATTAAGAGCTGTTTGTATTTGGCTCTAAAAGAGTCAAGTTCAATAGGAAAATTGCCATTGACAACGAAGAAAGTGTATATGTTCTAAGTGTAATTCAGACGATTTCGTATTGTATTACAAGTTTTAGGATTTCTGGATTCATGAAAATAAATTTCGGGATCCCGAAAAAAAAATTGGTAATGTACGAACTAATTAATTCGATTTCGTATTATATAATAAATTTCGGGATTCGTAAAATTACTTTTCGGGATTACTAAAATTTTTGGTGTTTACAAAATTACTTTAAATAAATCTGGTATGGGAGATTTTAGTTTTAAGTAATGGATATAATAAACTCAAACTCAAAGGAATTTCTTGCTTAAAACGATGCATATAAACAAACCATGAATATCGAAAATAATGAAAATTTAATTATTGCTTGACAAACTTCACAAATATTTCACAAATATTTCACAAAATATTTAATATTCAACTTCGAGAAAACTTTGGGATTCCGATATATTTCATTATTTATTAAGATTCTCAGAAATATAACGGAATAATATCTATTCCTTTGTTAATTGTATAACTAAACTTCTTCGAAAATTGCTGATACAAATAGCTGATAAACCAAAGTCCGTAAATCAAAGGAGTTTTTGACTTACACCGATAGGATCTGCCCTTCAAGATTTACTGTTATATACTGAGAAGCGATTGGTTCAACAAACCAAACCATGAATTTTACAAACATGTAAAGAGATATTATTTGGCAATATATAAATTTCGCCCAAACACTTTAGCAACAACTTTGAAAAATTTTCGGAATCCCAGAAAATCTGGCAACCGCATCGAGAATATACGACCGTTATTAAACTCATTTCTGTTTCAATATCAAATTAGTTTTTATAGAGTAATGTAGAATATGGAACCAAAAGAATCTTTTAGAAAAACACGTCTTCGAGTGTGATGCAGTTGACCATTCACCCGCCTTGCAGCTAGTAGGCATATCCCAACCATAATCTTAAACACAATTTAACCCGAAATGTTTTATATTTTTCTTGTGGCTTGGAAACATCTAACATTAGTAACATAGGAGAAAATAGAAGGGAAGTACAAGAAAAGTTACTCAAAATATTTAAAAAAAAAATCGATTTTCATAAAAGGTAACTTCTCTCAAAGTCTGTATTGCACATAATCGAACCATTTCCGGCTATAAAATGTATATTGTCTAGTTTTCCTAGATCTTTTTAGTAACTTGTCCAAATAAACGTTGCAGGTAACAGGAATTCATCTGTTGAAGACCAATCAGAGGCTATGCACTCTCGCATAGTTCAAGAAGAATATATAACACCTACATATGTATACGTATGAAGGTTAATCTTCAAGCAAATTTGGCTCAGTTGTTAACTCAAACCAGCAGAAAACTACCATAGATAGAAAAAGTGGCGACGAGATTCGACAATGCAAAGGCGCCAGGACTTGATGGTAACTGTGAAGGGGTATGCAAAAAGCAACGCCAGGTCCTCCTTCAAAAACCGAACAAACCGGCGGGCGAAAATATTGCAGAGACTGATCGGCACACGTTTGGAAGGAAATGCTTGTCTGAAAACCAATTTGGTTTCAGAGACATCGATCCACCATAGATGTACTCGGAAAATTTACGGACATTGCGGCCAAGGCCAGAGGTATGTATGGCGATAAAAAAGTACTACACAGTTGTCACACTTCACATGAAAAATGCTTTTAATTCTGCATCCTGACCATATATTATTAGGCTCTAGCGTCAAGAAACACACTCGGATATCTGCTAAGGATTATTAGTAGCTACCTGTATGATATACTGCTACTGTACGACATCGAGGTAGGTTCAAAAAGCTACGTGAATACATGTGGAGTACCGCAGGGATCCGTATTTGGTCCATTGCTATGGAACGTACTATAAGATGGCGTTTTACACCTACCGCAGCCAAAAGAGTGATATAGTTTCTAATCATGAACCTAAACCAGCCATATAACAGTAAGTCTTAATCAGATAAATACCAGCGATAACCACTCAATTTTATTCAAACTCGTTCAGTCCAAACATCATTATTTGTAGTGAAGTAAATCACATTACATTGTTATGACATCGAAGTTGTTTACGAATAGATTTGCACTCTTCAAAACATTACTTCATCCTATTAGCATAAATAATAATATTATGACGTTCGACACCCGCTTTATGGGCAATAAATCTAAATGACTGAGCACACATCTTAATAAATTTATCTTACTATTGACTACAGATGTAAGCTTGTAATATATTATAACTGTGAAAAGCAAGCCCAGCAAGCAGCCCATATCCAAGTAGTAATTGAAAGTGTTTCAGCTCGTTGAAAGACCGAGACTGGCTTCTGCGCAAAACTAATCAATAACTGCTCATCGAGATTTAAGCAAATTTAACTGGTTAACGTCCGGATGCCGGCAGATCTACCGGCGTGAACCGGTTAAATCAAGAAAGTGTGAAGACAACAAAAATTATAAACAAACACGTGCGCGTGTACTCAATGACAATAAGCGAAGAAAGCGCCATCATGACCAAAGCCAACAACAAAATCATTAGCTTCCACAAACTAGTAGCAGGGCCGACAAAATATTGTATGTAAATAGACGAAGCAGTTCTGCTCGATCGGACCTCGATTGAATCAATTAAATAAGCAAAGGGCGGTGGGAATGTAATGAGCGGCATTTGAGAGTAAATAAATGAGTATAAGGAATTGAGAGTGGATCACTCGTTGAATGAAGATGACAATAAAATTGCAATTTAAATGTTGCTATCATAATATATATTGATAAGCGTTTCTCAAGATACTCTATTTGTGTCGCGTTTCAAGCATTGTGGCATGAGTTGCATGTTAATATTCATTAACTTGTATCTTAAACAATTAATATTTAGAATTTGTAGGTGCAATTAAAATATAGAACATTAGCTGTTTGATTGGATTTGTGTCTAATTAGAGGGCTAGAACTGATTATGGAAGTACATACAAAATTAAAATTAAACACAGTGCATATTAAATTTGTGATTCAGTTAACTTTAAGGAGTTCTAGTTTAGGACAGCAAAGAGTACTTCTAATTACCTATTAAGTTGACTGCTAATAAGTTTCCATAATTTGGTACTTGGCAATAGCATAGACTGTGGTAGAGTGAATAGAGAATATAGTAGAGTGTAGCCTGAGTTCCCAAATAGTGTCCCTTTTTTATACGCTGAACACGATATACTAAGCTTTAATTTCTTCAAGCAAGTACTTTTTATTTTAACTATTTTCTTGGATCGACATTATTGAGCCAAGTGTTTTTTAAGGGAGTCAGTCTTAAAAGAAGCAAAAAGTAAGAGATGTTGGCTAAGAAGTAGTTCTTTTCTTCTACCCATTTTCTAATTTTATAGTAATTGATAAACTAACATCCGTGCAAACTCGTATCATGCAATATGGGTAAAAAAAAGTAAATAATATAAATATTAACTGAATATACATATATGTATCATATAGTATAAGTTCTTAATCCCAGTTACTTGTAATTAGTGATCATTTAATAGTTTTATGTGACTACCGTTTTATGGGTTGCAATGTAGTATTTTATTCAAGGAAATTAATTTTATGAAATATTCTCATTAAAATTGAATCGTGCTTACCAAGAAATGTTCTTAGTTTTAATACCGCGTCAGTCTTTACACCAGGCTTATAGTAGAGTTATGAAAAAAGGTAGATGAGAGGAGAAGAACAAAAATTATATAAATGTAATTGTAGATTTTACTGATATACCTGTAATGTACTTTTAAGGTTTTAAAAATAATACTAAAAGCGAAAAGAAAATATTTCAACCTAGTTCGAGTCCCACAAGTGCACCATCAATGGCTGGTTGTTGGACGAGTACACTATCGATATTTTTCATCAGTTTTTCACTTTTTATTTGCAATGGTGATAGGTGTTCGAACTAGACACTGTCCAATGGGTTTGAAAGTAAATTAAATAGAATCATCTCAACCTTCATCATCTGTCCGTCAGATCAAGATAAACACACCTCGGATCTCAAGATTATTCTTTGAGACATCCAAGTAAAATAGCGAAAATAGAAATATGTAAAAACACCTAAACAGATTTATGATAGGATCAAGGAGCTTTTCCCGATAGCTGATATCCAACTATCGTTTTTTCGTCTGGCTTCTCACAGGACTGTAAGCCAATTAACATATCTTAATCTAACCTAACCTAGCTCAAGTTGATAGCTTCACTAGATATATTATATATCGTGCAGTATATATAGTGTCGTGCAGTTTTATAAATATGTATGATAATTGTTTTTGCATTATTTGAGGTTAACTAAAATACTAAAAAAATATTTAGTGAAAGGAGTTTAAAAAAAAACATATAAACTTCATATTTAATGGGGAATAAATATTTCATTCGAAAGAACATTCTTTGATATTTATTTAGAAAATTATCTCTTTCAAATGCTGGCAGCGGCTAAGCCTCAGATGGTCCATCCGTTGAGTGCAATTTTCTATGACTTGTTCGAGCATTTCGACTGGTAAAAGGCGTGATGTTTTGCTCCAAAATCTGCATCCAAGCGGGTTTGTCCGCATAGGCTTTAGACCTTGCAAATTTATACCCACAGAAAAAAATTTAACGATGTGATATCACACAATCTTGATGGCCAATCGACTGGCTCAAAACGTGAAATTATCTGCACGCCGAAGTGTTCTCTCAATAAATTCATTGACTGGAGCGATATGTAGGAAGTTGCACCGTCTCGTTGAAACCCAATGTAACGGGATCATGAGCTTCAATTTCAGACATCAAATACTCGATAACCCTGGCGTGCTAACGATAACCAGAAATAAACCTTAACCAACTTTTTTTCATCCACATTTATTGCCAAAAATTGCCCACGCTCGACTTGCTAAATGCTCAACAATTTGCAATGAATTCCCTGCTAATAAAAAGTGACAAGATGTTAATTGCCTCTTAATTAGAGAGAAATGATGTGCTAATTTTCGCAAATTTGCAACATTATTAAAGTTATTATTTTCTAAATAAATTGTTATATATATTTCCACTTATTCTCGATTAGCAAAAAAACATAACTTTGAAGTGTTAATTAAAGCTGAGCACTTAACGAAAACTCGTTATAACGCTAATAGCTCTCAATTAGTTGTAATGAAATATATGATAAATAGTGATTTGGTTCTAAAACCCTTGGTTCTAAAACCCTTGGAGGCAAAATTTTAATTTATTCCTAGAAAGAAAATAATTAATATTTGCATTATACATAAATTGTTCACTTGCAACATTGTCATTAAATTTGCGCGCTTAAATATGTTTATGATTAAAAGATACAGTTCATTTAAATTTAAAACACATGGCAATTAAACTGTTTTCGATTTGTCCGAGCAAATGTATGGAGTTAGGTAGCGTGTTAATCTTTTAATAAAATCTGTACTTTCCATAAGTAAATAATAATAATAAATGTAGAAATGTCTGTTTTCTACAAAACTGAATCACAAATGCAAACTCCTGCAATTACGAAAAGCAATTGCAAATTATGTAAGGAGGTGGGCGGCAATTCTTTTATTTTTTTGTATACATGTTTTTATACTTTGATAGAGATTGAAATAATTATTTCAACTGGTTTAAAATGCCTTTAATATAACCTTTTTAATGTACCTTGGGGTAGTCTTGGACAGCAAACCGGAAGCCAATGGAAAGGGATCAGAGGCTCGCTGCCCTGTGCAACTGAATAGAGTTGCCAGAAGTAACCAAGGTCACAAAGATATCGGGGTCTATAAAATAATGGAGATTGCCAAGAATGATGTGCGGCTAACATCCGAAAATGTCATCAACATTGGGAAACCCATAAGACGATATCGACAACAGCTTGGTAAAGAAAATCAAAACCTGAAGGAACGAGCTGCCTGGGTGCAAAACTGCCAAAGTCATGTGCAAAACTGTAGATTGGAAGTACATAAAATGTTATTGACACCCGATAGAAGAGACTGTAGGAAAATGATGGGAATACTAATTGGTCACTGTCTGGTGGCGACACACGCTCGCAGAATGGAGTTGACAGATCGAGAAGACTGCAGGAAATGTCTATAGCAAGTAAGCAAGGAAACAATGAAGAATATCTTGTGCACTTGTCCAACATTGGCAAGACTACGCTATAAGCATATGGGGTACATTATATATGAATATTTAACCCCTACAATAAAAAATAAATAAATGGCAAAAAATACTTCACTGTCTTTAAAAAATTTAAGTACTAAAAAATTTATTTAAAAAAGTCTATTCCAAAAAATTATTTAATATATATATTTCCCAA